CTCTACTCTCTCTCTCTCTCTCTCTCTCTCTCTCTCTCTCTCTCTCTCTCTCTCTCTCTCTCTCTCTCTCTCTCTCTCTCTCTCTCTCTCACACACACACACACACACACCTCATCCGCATATAATAAATAATACGGTCTGTTCATTTTGCTGCCTGCTTTTTCTATTAAAATATAGAATATTTGAACATTAAGATAACCCATTTTATTTTTTGCAAGCCATCAAGAACGGTTCTCATAGTCCACATGAGAACGTTCATTTTAACACCAAGACATAATCATAAGATACGACATGCATTACTAAAGGAACATAGACATCCAAAGACAATAAGTGAAATATTCACAATACCCAGTGAAAGAAAATGTAGTTTACCCGTTTCCTGAGAAATCAAAGCGAAATGCACTGATTCCTTCTCTAGTTAAAGCTGTTGTGAGGGCCTTGATGGTACTGTCATCCTGATAAAGGAAATGTTTCAAGATCCAAGCTTAAACTATGACATATTAATAAAATGAACTAACAGCTACTCCAGTAAAAAGAGTAATCAGCCCACCATCCCAAAAAAGAAAGGACCCCTGCAGTGGCAGGATGATAAGAACTCACCAAACAAATTGAACAGCAGCAGCATAATTAAAAAACATGAAGAAACCAAACTGCATGTCAAAAATCCATAGAGGATTCAATAATCTCCACTTAAACAATATGTGCCTGCCAAAGATGGGAGGCATTGAATGACATATTTCACAAGAGGCCACCTTTTTCAAGTTCTGAAAGATGTAAGGTAGCAGACAGTTGAAAGAACTTAGCATATACATGTTGATCAAACTGAAATGGTTCATGAACATAAAGAACACCATAGGCAAAATGATGCCTACGAGGTGATACATTTCCAATGACATCAAAAGTATATTTGTTATAGATAATCATATTTAAATTTATTTCATTCAGTGAGAACATTTTTTGAATCAAACTCAAATATTTGTACAATGATACTAAAGGTCACTACTCTAGAAATAATATCCACTAATGATTATTTTAAATACTAAGAACTAACAGTAAAACCATACACTTATTGGCCTTTTTTTATGGCAAATAACTTTATCTAAAATTAATATATTTTGGATAATATTATTTTGTTCATTGTTTGCTACATATCTTGTATTAAGTATAATATTACTTAATTACTTAACGTTTTTGGTGATTTCCAAATATTTTGAGCTATTCCTGGCTGAAAATATGTGCCGCCTAGGTGGCACATCGATAAAGGGAGGCCGAGGGCTGAAAAAGGCCATCACCCAAGGGGGGAAAGAGTTTTGGGGAGCAGTCTTGTTCCCCAGAACTGCTCTTGTCTATGTTAGAGAGAACTCCTCTTGTGCATGTTAGCGAGAGAAAAACTCTAAAATACCTTAGCATTTAATATTTTTCTCAAGATCGAAAAAAAAAAAAATTCAACTTTTTCGATTTCTTACGAAATCAAAAGAAATACTTCGTGATACTTTTTGGAGCTTGAAGTGGTCGCATATGAGGCCTTGGTGACCAAAGATCACCGCTTTGGGCCAATATTGGTCTCATTATGAAAAGGTTAGTGCATTACAATACTTGAATTAGGGTATGGTATTCGGATTTTTGTATAATGTATTATAATTTGAATCATTTGATATTCTTTTGTGAATATTCCCTGGTATGGACTTTGGACCTATAACGAATTCATTTGAAATGCTTAATGCAATGCGTGTTATGTCTTCTTGTTTTTTTTTGTAGGGATATTTTTACATGTTCATAGATAGAATATTTTCTGAGTATTTAACGATTTGGGCTAATATTTTTTTTTTCTGAACATGATGATTTGGGCTTATATCAAGTGAATAGTTTGAAACTTTGAACTAAATTTATATTTGGTGCATATTTAGATTGCAAAACCAAATCCTATGGATATTAATATGATTATAATGCCATGATCATCATATGTTATCTGATATTAAGTGATTATTTTTTAAAATTGATATCATATTATGTGATTTTTGTTAGATTGGAAAACCAAATATTACATAATTTTTTTATTTCATTTGGTTATCAAATATTATGAAGTTTATTTTTTGATTGGTTTCCAGTTCCTTTCCACATATTTTTAGTGTTCCTTTCTAGTTTGTTTTGTTTACTTCATAGTCTTCATTTAAAGCTTGAATTTTTTCTTAGTTTTTTTTTCTTAGTACTTTCATCTTGTGTACTTTTCAGGTATATTGAGTAGGTGACACCTTGTGAATGACTGTGACTCTGTGAGTTGTGCTGTAAGTCGCATATCGTAAGTCATGACAATGCCTTCAACTAGATCAAGTAAGCAAAGTTATCTGGGTTGGAAGTAGGGATCTTGTTCAAATCTCCTAGACAAGAATAGGGTGGAGTCTAAGTTTTGCAAGAAATCTTATAATACGGGTATTAACAGATTAAACAAACATTTAGCTGGCATTAGAGGGGATGTGGTCCCAAGCGCTCTAGTGCTAGCAGAGGTAGGGAGAGAGATGTTAGAGCACATGGAGGGGGTTAAAAACAAGAAAGAGGAGGTGAGGAGAAGGCTTGGAAAAAAGAGGATACATACTTTGAGGTTAGATCTTCTATTAGGCCAGCCATGCATAAGGGGCCTCAAAGAAGGGTGCCTATAGACCTGCACACACACCACCCCCCCCCCGATCCTGAGATTTTATCATGCGAAAGGGGGCAAACAAGTCTGGAGAACCACACAAAGAAAGAGGATAAAGTAAAGGTAGCACAATATGTGGCCAGATAGTTCTATTTGCATGCATTTCTTTTAATGCTGCTAAATTGAAAGGCTATCAAAATTCAAAGTCCAGACTATGTTGGAAGCAGTTTGTCAATTTGGGACAAGGTTTAGGGCCCCAATTGCTTATGACCTAAAGGAGCCATTGCCTAGAAAAGAAGTTGAGCTTACTAATAACTTTTTGAAGACCCAAACGAATGAATGGGGGATATACAGTTGCACAATTATCATGGTTGGAGTGATAAGAGAAATAAAAGCATTGTGAATTTAATGATGAATTGTCCATTAGGGACAATGTTCTTATGGTATATTGATGCTTCCGACAAGTCCCATGATGTGACCTTCATTTGTGACTTAATGGACCAATGCATAGAGGAGATGGCTGAGAACAAAGTGGTCCAAGAAGTGACCGATATATGCTCAGCCAATCTGGCGGCATCTAGATTATTGATGGCTAAAAGACCGCATATTTTTTAGTCACCTTGCACAGCACACTGCATCTTGCTCGAGGCGATTAGTAAGAGGAAGTTGATGAAGACAAGCATCAAAAAAGCCAAGGCCATCACAATCTATACTCTATATATACAGTCACACTCAGGCAAGAACATGAATATTATATTATGCTTTGTATTACTTGTTTTGATTATTCTGAATACATACACGTTATGTGATGTCATTGTAAGTTTGTAACTTATGAAAATTTATGTTGGCCAAGTCTTAGCCATTATTAAGAAGTACATTGGGGGGTAGAGACTTGGTGACAGCTGGGGTGACTAGATTTGCCACCTCGTACTTGTCGTGCAATCTTTATATGAGCAAAAGGAAAAGCTTAGGTTAATGTTTGCGTCTAAGGTTTATAACAAGTCCAAGTGGGCTAAGAAATCAGAAGGGTAAAGTAGTCATGGAGATTGTCATGGACTCACGATTTTGGATCAAGGTTCAGTATGCCTTATATGTTTTTCGGCTATCAATAAAGGTACTCAAGATGGTTCATGTTGAGAAGAAACCCACGATGGGTCACATTTACAAAGCTATGGAGGATGCCAAAGAAGAGATTAAGAAAAATATTGGGAATGATGAAGCTAAATAAGGAGAATTTTTGAAAATTCTAGAAAATAAATGGAATTACCAGCTTGGGAGGCCCTTACACTTAGCAAGGTACCACCTTAACCTTGCTACTTTTATACTTAACATAAGATACATAGCAAGGAGTTCATGGAAGCAATCAACCAATGAAATCTCAAACTCAACCCCGATCCTGAAGTCCTAGGCAAGGTCACAATGGATTTAGATAAGTATAGGTTCTTTATTAGGTCTCTTGGAAAGGAGTTGGCAATAAGGCAGAGAAGCAAGATCGCTCCTAGTGAGTTTAGCTTCTTTATGACTTCATGATTTGAGTATTAAATTTCAATTTCACAAATACCTTATATACTTCTACTACATATGAAATAGTTGCATGGTGGACAAGCCACGGGTAAGCACCCCACATTTGCGACAAATGGCCATGCATATATTGAATCTGACTTGCAGCTCGTCTGGATGTGAACGTAACTTCAGCACGTTTGAAATGGTAATTTTATTTACTGAGAAGGTAGTTAGTTTATTAGCCTAACCTATATTATGTTTCTATAAATTTTAATTGTTCATTCGACATTTATCTAAATGAACTTGTCTTCATTCAGTATAAGCAAAACCTACAAGAGTGCCATCAGGAGCTGGAGCACAAAGAAAGGGAGGCTATTGAAGTTGATGACATGAATGATACTAGTAACTGGCTAGTTATGCTAGGGATGATGAGGTATTCCCTAGAGAAGGCTTGACTTAGGACCAAGTTCGTGAGGCTGTTGGGACACCATTGAGCCTCATGCATCCACTTGATCTCAATCTCAGAGCCAAAGGGAAGGGGGAAAGCAAAGGAGAAGGGGAAGAGGTTGATGGGATTGAGAGAGGAGAATGAAGAGGATGAAGCAAATCCAGAAGAGACAAGGGATTATGTTGAGGAGGTTGTGATGACTCTGATGATAATGGCATGGCATCATCATCAAGTTCTATGCGGAGTGGTGATGACATAGAATTGCCATTTTAAGTAGAATGCCGTTCTAAGTTATTCGGAGTGGTGATGACTAATGACATAGAATTGTTTAAGACTTTTGATGGTTGCGTTATTAGTTTATGTAAATGTAAGATGACATTTGAGTTTTGTTGCAATTTGATGGTGTTTGTGTCTCCGTAATTATTTAATTTTGTATTTTCAAGTGCTTTGTGTTACTCTATCCTTGTTCCTAGGCGCCTGCCTAGGTGGGTGCATCTGATTTCTTGAGCATTCCATGAGAATGACTAATCAGAGCTTGAAGAAGAGAACCTTTCCACAACTGAGGGATGCAGCTCCACTTACTAACCAGGGGAAGGACCTCAAACGTACCCCTTGGGGAGCATCCAATGCATGCCTTGGAAGGATTGGATAGAGGCATCCAGTAGATGTGCCTGAGCTCTCTAGTCGTTATAACTACATGACTTCTTAGATTAGCTTGCTAGTGTTGAGACATTTTTCGCATGGAAGGAGCTATCCGAGCATAAGAAAGTGATGTTAGTAGAAGGTGATGTTAATAGCCACCCAGATGTAGGGGCGTGCCATCATCTGAAGGCAGCAACTACAGGCCAATCGCTTGTGGAGAAAATCATGAGTTAGAGGAAAATGACATGTTTGAAGGAGTTTGCCCCCGTCGTTTACACCCAAGATCCATACCAAAGTTCCACCACTTGCGCCGGAAGGAGAAGAGTGTGCAAGAATACACAAAGGAGTTTTATCTGTCGATGAGACAAAATGAAATTCATTCAAACAATGATCAACTTATATCCCTCTATGTCAGTGGCTTGAAACCCTAGATTCAAGATGAACACAACCTACACAGGGCAACCAATATTTATGAGGCGTATCAATTTGCCTTACAAGCTGAAGCAAAGTTGAAGAGAACTGTTGTTCTCTTCTCTAACTGAGGGTCCTCCTCAATCCCCAATGGCTTTTGCACTAATTTAAGGCAGTAGGAGCCAGATGATTTTGACCCAGTATTTGGGTGACAATTGAGGAAAAACTGGCTATGAACAAGCCTTTCCAGGCTCGAGATCAGAGCATTAGGTGTTCCAAATGTGTTGAATAGGGCAACTTCTCTTTCAAGTGCCCCAAGAGCCAAGTTGTTGCACACCTTCGAGAGGCAGACGAAGAGTACGAGGGGGATATTGAAAAGGAGCATGTTTATGATGGGGCAGCCTATTGATGTACCAAAAGAAGCAACAGAGTTGTACCCAGATGAGGGAGAGTTGCTCACGATTAGACAATATTGTCTGCCCCAAAGGTAGTTGAAGAGTCATGGTTGCAAATAAATATCTTTCGCACCAAATGTGTCTCAAAAGGCAAAGTTCGCGCCCTCATCATCAATCAGAATGCGGTGTCGTAGGAGATGGTGGACAAGCTCAAATCGAAGTGTGAACAACACCCTTAGCCCTAAAATATCCCCTAGTTTAAGGTAACAAACCCATGTTAACCATTATTGTTTGGTCAATTTTACCGTTGGGAAGTCCTATAAGGAGTTTGTTTGGTGTTACATATGTATGTCACATTTTGTCAAGTCACCCATGGCAGTATGGCCGATCTTCCACACGCCATGAGTGACACAACACATATACCATTTCCAAAGATGCTGTTAGCATAACCCTGCAACCCCTGAAAGAGGATGCCCAACCTGAACATAAGGGGAAAATGCGATCATTCTCTCCATGAATCAATTTCCGGGTGACAGCCAAGAGCGCGTGTATGCTTAGTATCAAAAGAGCCTCCTCCTCCTACTGCTATTCTTACAAGCACAGAGCAATTGGTTGATGAATTTAAGGATGTTATGCTGCCCAGTGTTTGCCTCCTAGCGTTATATCAAAACTTGCAGGCACCAGTCTTCCAAACCTACCCCACTACCACATAAGCCCGAAGTAGCATGTTGAGTTGCACCAGTAGGTCTCCGAATTACTGAATAAGGGGGTTGATTAGGGAGAACATGAGCCATTGCGCTATTCTTGCCTTGCTAGCACCTAAGAAGGATGGATCTTGGAGGATGAATATGGCCAGCAGGGAACTACGAAATACCACTTCCCATTTCCATGACTTAATAACATGCTTGATATGCTAGCAGCCTAGCAGACTCAAAGATCTTCTCTAAGATTGACTTAAAGAGAGGATAACATCAATTTCGAATTCACCATGGTGATGAATGGAAAATCACATTCAAGATCCCAGGAAGGGTTGTACAAGTGGCTTGTCATGCCATTTGACAGTGCAATACCGCGAACACCCTCATGAGGATGATGAACCAAATCCTCAGGCCCTTGATTGAGAAATTCATAGTAGTGTATTTTGAACAAAAAAAAAAAAAAAAAATTACTAGAAAACAAAATTGTCTGAGCCCGGGTTCGAACTGGGGACCTCTAGTGTAGTTTGACAAAAATATTGTTTACAGCTGCACTAACGAAGAGCACTTCGGCCATTTCAGGCAAGTGTTTGAGGTTTTGTGAGATGACAACTGTTTGTAAATATGAAGAAGTGCTCCTTGATGACAGACAGCATGATATTCCTGGGATTTACAGTGGCAGCAGAAGCAATTAAGGTGGACCAAGACAAGGTGCAGGCTATTGTAGAGTGGCTGATGTCAAAGACCGTAGGGGAAGTTAGAAGCTTCCATGGCTCTGCTACCTTCCACAGGAAATTTATCAAAAATTTCAGCAGTCTTATCGCCCCTATGACCAACTCTATGAAGAAAGGCACCTTTCAATGGACTAAGGCTGCTGATGAGAGTTCTAGACTCATTAAAGAGAAGATGACTAGTGCCATGGTTCCAGCATTACCAGATTTTGAGAAGGTCTTTCAAGTAGATGATGATGCCTCCATGTATGCGTTGGGGCTATCCCTAACCAAGAAGGCAAACCAATAGGCTTTTACAAGGAAAAATTAAATGAGGCCAAAACTAAACATTCTACCCCAGTATGTGGATTTGAGATCCTGCCACAACAATATGCCATTGACCCCCATTTTGGTAAAATTGTTGATCAAAGTGTGCAGAGAAGCAACGTTCCTACCTCTAACTTCGTATGGCAGGATGGATTCCTTCTCAAAAGGAGTAAACTATGCATCCCTAAGGTATCACTTTGTGCCAAGATCATCGCCAGAATGCATGGAGGTGGACTCAGTGGGCACTTTAAGGCGAGATAAGACAATTATAGCCGTGGAAGAGAAGTATTATTGGCCTAGACTCAAACAAAATGTTAGCTGGTTCGCAAAGAGGTGTCAAACTTGCAAGCTGACCAAAGATCGAGCCCAAAACACCTACTTATGGACCCCTCTGTCCATCCCTTCCAGCCCTTTGACAATCATTAGCATGGATTTTGTGTGGGAATATGGGACTCCCTCACACAACTAGAGGTTTAGTCGCTGTCATGGTGGACAGGTTTGCAAAGATGGCGCACTTCATCCCATGCAGCAATACTATTCCTCGAGACAACCCATGTGGCTGACATATTCCTTGAGGAAGTGGTTCGCCTCCATGAAGCTCCCCAAACCATCACCTTTGAAAGGGATACATGCTTTGTGAGTCACTTTTAGCACACTCTGTGCAAGAAGCTGGGCAACAAGCTTTAGTACAACAGTGCTTACCACCAACAGATGGCCAAACCGAGGTGGCCAACCAAAGCCTGAGAAATCTCCTTCGGAGTGTCATTGAGGACAAGCCCAACCAATGGGATTAAGTCCTAATGCAAGCTGAGTTCGCCGACAACAGAAATTTCAATAGGTCGACAGGGTGGTCCCCTTTGAAGGTCGTGTATGGTCAGCAGCTGAGAAATGTGCTCAACCTGGTTCCCCTTCCTGAGAAAGAATGAGCTAGGGATAATGCAGAAGCTCTGGCCAAGCACAAGACATCCATAAGCAGATGCGAAAGAACCTACACGTGACCTATGCTAAGTATAAGGACAACACTGACCAACACTAGCTACACGTGACCTATGCAAAGGAGATTTGGTAATGGTCTACCTGCACTTTTTGGTTGGCAACTATCATAAGCTGAAGTACAAGCATATTGGTCCTTGTCGAGTGCTACGAAGAATACGCAGCAATGCTTACAAAACCGAGCTTTCAAACAAGTATAACATACAACTTGTTTCCAATGTTGTTGACCTTTAATGGTATCATGGAGTATGTGCTAGCATGGGCAAACAGAAGTGGGAAGCCTAGCTGCCGAAGCCGTTCATGGGATTTTGGATATTCAGACCATCACCACTCAGTGTGGTTCATATAACTAATTCCTTGTTCAATGGAAGGGTAAGCTTAAGTCAGAGAACTCTTGGAGCTCAGAATAGGACCCAAGGTGGATCGATGAGGAAGCATGGAGGATGTTCATGGCTGAGCAGACCTGAGGGCGAGTCCTCCCTAATCAAGGGGGATTGATGAGGTCGACTTGTGAGCAATGTGCCCTTGAAATTGCTTAACATTTTGCTCCTAGCTCAAAATTGGGCTTATCGATACTCTACAAAATCCTCTTTCTAAGCCCTACAACCCAACCAATTGCACTGATAGCGGAAAGCGATTTTGGCAATAAAATGACTCTAGAGGCCCAAAAATGGCCTTAAAAGCATGAAACACAAGTTCAAGGGTAGTTTTGTTATTTAGGGCATTTTGGACAAGATTGTCTTTTCTTGCTTTTTTATTATGTGTTTATCGTCGTGATTTAATGTTTGTAATAGATGGTCTGCATTGTGCTTTAGAAACGCCTGGGAACCCGAATCATTTTAGGAATCAGAATCACGAAATCAAGCCGGCTAAAAGATTCTTGTTTTCAGAATTGACATCCGTACAATGGGAATCTCGGGGAACAAGATTCCTATTTTTTGAGAATCGAGAATTGACCAAAATGGAATCAATATTCCGCCACATATAGAATCAAGATTCTAATATCCTTGGAATTGAGATTCCTACCTCCTTGAAATCGCCAAGGAATCGAGATTCCGAAATCTTAGGAATCGGGTTACCAACGTATGTGGAACCAATATTCGCACCAGTTTGGAATCAAGATTTCAACATATTTAGAATAGAGTTTCCGACGTATGTGGAAGCAAGATTCCTGCCAATTTGGAATCCGGATTCATATTAGTTTATAGAATCCAGATTGATACGAACTAGCAATCGAGATTTGTAACTCTATAGAGTCAAGTACAACGCCCAATAGAAACAAGTATCCTATATCAACGGCATCACGCGCTTATCAACTTAAAATCAATTTCAGCAATCAATATCAAATGTCTCTTATTAGACTTGTAGAAGGGTTCCTCAGAATTGAAGTCAATGTATTTCTACAAAATATACAAATGTTATCCTATGTATTTCTAAATTATGATCTTGATTTCATTATTATACAAACAAAATAGGATTTTCTCTGTACCATGGTATTTATTGTACGTGTTGTAGTTACCAATTATACTTTAAAGAAAAGGTAGTCCATCCTAGCACTATTAGAAATGTGATTCGAGCATTCCTAACACTATTAGAAGCATTCGAATCGAATAAAGATCTCTACTCCAATTACCTTTAAAAAGTGGTAACCATTCAAGAAAGTGGACATTATTACTTCGTATTGTTTCTTTATTATTATTTTTATTTTATTTTATTTTTATTTTTATTTGCTTGCATTCACATTATGCCATTGTGCTAGGGGATAAATTCAATCAAAACATCAAGCACACACATGGATAAATTATTGCATGAATTAAAAACAACAAGTCGGTAGAGAGAGATTTTGACATCAAACAGGTATCTTATGGAGGTCGAAGCAAAATTCTATGTCGATTGAATCATAGTTCCATGCTCCGACGAACCGAGGTCTTTTATGTTGTAGATTCTAGATTCAAAATCATAACGAATCAAGATTCATCACGTGTGGACGTGAAATCAAGATTTAATAAATGCTAAAATCAAGATTAGAAAAATTTGGGGCCGAGATCCCACAAATAATGGGATCAAATGAAACAAGATTCCTGAAAAGGTATGAAACAAGTTTCCTAACTTATGGAGTCTAGGTTCATAAGTTCTAGGAAACAATTTCCATGAAGATCCCTTGTCGGAATTGCCAAATGGGGATTCCGAACCAGAATGGCGACCTCGGCAAGGAGATTCGGGCAACCTATGGCTTAGACATTAAATAGGTTATGATGTATGGGGGAGGGCAGATTGTTTTGAGTTCTATCCTTAGGTTTTCCTAGATTATCCAAAGGTGTGGCTATGGAACTTGGCTTTTAAGCCCCTTTTACTGTTTTCAATAGCAGGTTTCCCTTGTTTTCCTTCACTTGATCCATTTCTTCCATCACTATATAAAAAGCATATGGTATGTGGTATTCATAGGTCAGTAAATTTTACAAGTCAAAAAGAGATCGCTTTACCTAATAAATACAAAGATGATGGAATTCTTTCAGTTCAAAGACAAGGAAAGAAGTAATCTAAATGATACCAAAGAACGTTATTTTATTACTAATATAACAGAAATAAAGACTAGACAAAAAAAGGTCATTTTATTACTAATATAATGGAAATAAAAGCTAGACAAAAAATCATTATCTAGTGGTCACCTTTGATGATCGAAATCCATGGCACAAGACAATAATTGGCCTTGACTCAGCCTCATGCAACAGTCCAACCAGCCTTTCATTGCACTTGTTTGGAATAATCACCGTTTGCATTGGAATCACTACAAAACGTATGTTTAATTTATTAAATTGTCATAATCACAACCCAAAGTTGATAAAAGCAAGATACGAAGCAAATATCAAATTAAAATTTTATATTGCCTCGTTGAGGACAGCACAAAAAAAGGGGAATAAGGTAAGACATTAGGAGGTTTAAGATGAGAGACTCTTCAGTGGTAAAGGAATAATCTTCCTCAGCTTGAAAGAAGTTACAGGTATCTTAGTTCTTACAATTAGGACACACAGCAAGTAAAACATACCTATGATATTATAGACAATCATAGAACGAAAACAAACAACAGCATGTTCTTTTTTATGAGTGTCATACAACAAATATACAATACAAATGTAAGACAAGACTTGCATTTGTTTGTTTCAATATACTACAAAGAATGCAATTAACTTGATCCTTGAATTCTATGCTCTGAAATTATTTCAGAAAGCAGCTACATTTAAATGAAATTTATACTATGACAAGTTAATTGTACTTTAGTTAAAAGTGAACTTCTCATGTCTTATAGAGTTGTTTCAAGAGCTCACACCATGATTGTTCAAGCTTGAGTCATCGGCCATGTTTGTACCATTTGGCATCTTTAATTGGCACCATTTCATAGTAATTTTTGTTCTTTTGAGATGTGATTTTGTTATAATGATAAGATAAAGAAAAAAAGGATTTTTTTTTAATAAATTAAAAAAACCCTTTATTCATGTTATTCCTTTATGAATATCCCGATGTTTCTTATTATGTTCAGTGATTGAAGCACGGTACCATTTACACTCCATCAATCATTATTCCTTGCTCGCATCCTAGCATCAATGTTGTCATATTTTGCGAACCAATTGAAGAGTCACAAGTTCCATGTAATACAAAATTCCTTAGTGCCACATAATCCATATATTATTTCACCCTTACATTGAATTTACCAGGGAAGACAAAAGGATGTACTGACAGAGCCCTCTGCCCCCTCTCTCCACATGGCAGAACCCCATAAATCCTCCTCCTATGTAGTGTAGAATTACTCCCGCTTCTCCTGGTTATGTTCCATCTTGTGATTCTCATGTTTTTGAACTAAGTGTTGCAGAAACGAAATGCAAAATGTAAACTCCGCAAGACACGCATACATAGGGCAAAAGTCAATCCTACCAAGAAACCAACCCATAACCCACTGGATGCAAATGCACATTACACACAACCAGATTACACTTGATAACTTTAGCTGCTTAGTTGCCTAGGGTTTCCAAGGAGCTATGTATGTCCTACAAGTATAAGAAACAACAAACAATCCTCAATTCCAGGACTAAAGCAAAGTATGATGCAATGTCATATTCCTAAAGTGAGGTTGAGTCATCTGCCCATTAGATTTGGTTTAGGGAAATCAGCTTCCAAATTTATTATCATTAGTCATGCCTATAAGTAACTAAAAATATAAACAAATCCAAGAGCATCTGCATCCCTTCTTCCTATTTCCTACTTCTACAGCAGATTCTGGCTAGGCTAGTTGTAGATTTATAAGGCATGCACAAAATCATAGATAACAATGCCCATATACCTATTATCAATAAAAGTTTCACAATATTAACTAAGCATCACAATCTTTTCAAATGTGGATATCCAATCACCAAACTAATTTCTAAAGGAAGATGATCCTAAGATGACAGATTCAACAATTTATGAAAGAGATAATGACTTTCTCAATTTATTATATGGGGCTTTACAATTAACTTGTCCTCATGAAAGGAAAGATGAATGAAAACTAATATACAAAAGATTGTACCCTTTGGACACTACTAATATACACAACATCATGATGAAAACAACATATATAGACCTATAAAAGGTTGCAGCCTTGTACTACTGAAGTAAGGTGAACTTCAAAAATCCTAAAGAAGAAAGTATTCCGGCGTTAAAGAACCCTCCAATTGATCATCTCGACCACAAGATGTATGGACATAAAAGAAAAAAGAATTCCAAGTCAAAAAATTAGTGCGTCCTGTAACAAGTTATAAGGACCGTCTATTTTCAAGTGTTTATTGATCTGCTCGATCTGTATCAATTTTGAAATTATAACTAGGGATGAAAGTAGATTTTCAATCTATCATGATGCCTACAACACCAAAAATGACATCTCTGAGAAACTTTTAGAGGTGTGCCTTACTTCTACAATATAAAGAGGCAGCCTTATAAAAACTTCACCCTTACTTAAAATATACAAATTGTTCAAAATATTCCCTAGAGCAAAGGACATTAAATACATTTCCTGTGAATATCTTTGAGAAATAAGGATGAAAGGGAATCGAATATAATTACAAGAGTCAATTGTAAAAAGTATAAAATCTCAAATAGGTATGGCTTTACTTTTGGTTCATATCTTATTTCGTTTTGTTTTTAAAATAACAGTCTTCTATACTTCATCTTATGGGTTCATTAAACACAAGCATGGCATATTAATTCGTAACAAATTAAGGGAGCTTCCTATGAAGACAGAAGTTGTTGCAAGTTAGGAATAGGCTAAGCGGTTTGATGGCATGGTGCCATAATGTGATGTCTTGAGTCCATTCCCACCACAGGCATGGGGTCCTCCCCACTGAACTACCTAAAAAAACAAAAAAGTGCACTTTAGGAATGGGCTCAAGTCTAGGTGGTCAGCGTAGTGGGGCACCACAATGTCACGTTTTGAGTTCCATTCCTACCATAGATAGGTGACCTCTTCCTTGTAAAATTACCCCAAAATGAAAAAAAAAAAAAGGTTGTTGTAAGTTTAAATATCCCAAAAAACAACTCATAAAATTGAACTTTTCTAAGTCCAAGTACAAATAAGAACACTATAGTGAAACCCTATAACATTATATTATAAGAATAATGTAAAAACAAATTAAAATAAAAAAACTATCCAACAAACAGAAACTCTAAAGAATCCACCCAAAAACAACTATCTTAATCACATTAACAAAAAAAAAAAGAATCCTTCTAATAAAGTTGGTATTTCAGGGTGAAACCCATCACCATCAAAACCATTAAAGAAAAACTATAGTATATGATTAGCATTTTTTTTTGGGGGGGGTAATTCAATGCGGAAGGGTTCCCCTACCCGTGATAGGAATAGAACTCAAGGCATCACACTTTGGCGGCTTGCCATTCTGACCACATAGCCTTGAGCCCATTCCTAGTATATAGTTAACATGTGATTTGGAAACGCCCAAATCCTCAATGGCACATTACTTTTTCTATGTACAGAGAAAGGAAGTTACTTGCAAAAAAAAATTCCATGTGCTCTCTCTGCAAAGTATATTCGTTAGATTATGTGAAGAATAATTGAGTGGCAAATGGCAAGAGAAAAAAGAATCTTTCCACTCGTAATAATTCATTTAGGAACCTCCAATAGCACAGCTTTGATGACCCAAAAAACTAATCACATTTAACAAAGTGACATAACGATAGAGAGAAACACATAGAGACAAAGGTAAAATTCATTTATCAACAACCAAGATCAATTGATTACCCATCAGTTTGATTGAAGATTTTATTTATTCATAACTCATATCAATAACCTTTATGGAATTTCTTTGGGGCTAGTTTGTCAAGATCAGATGCTATACTTAGTGGTGAGTATCTTATTGCCATGCCCAACATCCATTCTCTATATTTGGACTTTAAGCAATGGAGTTCACTAAGACAGTACCACATATTATGTTTCATGAATATTCAGATGCACTTACTCAACATTCATTGTTCACATTTTCATGAGCAGTGGAATTCACTTTTTTAGTGAAAAATTAGTAAGCTATAAAAGTAGGCAAGAACTCATCAACCACCGTCTTTGGATCAACATTCACCATGGATGTTCGGTCTAAGTATTCTATTGATACTCATACCATTGGAAGATTTTATGAAATAAATCAACCCCCTTAAAAATACAAGTGGCTTTAAAAAAGGACAATACATTAACTCCAAACCTCAAGGATAAGTATGGGCAGTGGATGCGAGTTATGGAAGATGGACGTTACGTTAACCTACCACTGCACTTTGTACATAGTACATTATATTTTTCCTAGTTGTATAAGTACTCTTAGGCCAAAATTTATCGTCCATGCTTCCATGGGAAGTGATGTTCAAGGCTAACCTTGCTCCAAAAGAAACGTGTTTTATCAAAGTGGGCAACACCTCCTAGCCCACTGCCATTAGTGGAAGTTGAGTTTGAGTATCCCAACCAATACACTCTTAAAAGCAATATTTAAAAAAACGGACCGCCCAGCACCTAGGCACCCAAAAAACTTTTACCGCACTCCTGGACCTGGGCGCCCCAACACGAGCGGCTGTACCTAGGCAGGCGCTCAGCACAGTTTACGATTTTTTTTTTTAACTTCGCCCAAAAGGGCAAAGGGGGTCATTTTGACCCCCAAGTTTGTATAAAATAAGTTTGGGGGTTTATTTTCAACCCCAAACGAAAAAACAAGAAACCCTCAATCTTAAACTTATTTATGAGAATCTAAAGCAATTGCTGAGAATCGAAAATATTTCTTATGGATTGAAAAGTTTGTTCTTCTGATTGAAATTATTTTTAGGGTGCTATTGATGGTATTAGAAGACTTTTAAGTTGATTCGTAGCTCGACTGAGATAGCCAACATCGAAGATCAGAGATTGGGTAAAAAAGTTCAATTTATAATCTTTATTTGAGATTTATTTTTTCAATTTGAGATGTCTTCTGTGGGATCTACCAGGGGTGGAGATCCGGGATGGAAATATTGTTTTAACCCGGATAAGAATGACAGAAATAAAATTATGTGCAATTTCTGTGGACATGCTTCTAATGCCTACATAAATAGATTTAAGAAACATCTTGTCGGTATTAGAGGTGATGTCGCCCCATGTAAGTCCCAAATCTTGTAAAGAACGAAATTTTGGAGTACATTGAAGCTGAAAAGAGTAAAAAAGTTGCAAAAAAAAAAAGATATAGCAGAATTAAAGTCAAGGGTTCATATTTTTTATGATAATACTGAAAC